GTCTCCAGATTTTGGAACTCAAGTGTATCTGGGCTTTGTTTCTCAGTAGGTCTTCATTTTCAGCTTGCCATTCTACTAAATGTTCTCTTTGCCCACCTCCAGAGAGCACCTTCTCCATTGGTGGCTATGGCTCCAGCACATTTTCTCACCTTTCTGCTTCCCCTCCCCAGCCTGACCCCCCACTAACTTTGTAAAACCTGCAAGTTAAATTTTTCAAAGACTGTTTCTGACAAAGCAGTGGGAATTAGATTTGGCGAAGCCCTTCATAAAAAATTGAAGACATGCTATATTAACATACATTGATTTATTCATAGTGTTTCATTACAAGTAAGTGAGGATCCTGTAATACCACGAAAGGTTAGGAGAGCGGGGGAGCATGGTATATTATATTGACAGCTCCGTAGAAATTGAGTCGCTTTTGGATTGAATTTGGGGCTCAGGAAAGAGCTGGGTAGTAAATAAGGCATGAGCTTTTGCTCTCAGTGTTTGTATATCAGCGGTGTTGCCACCAGCTCAGGCAGGGTCACTGGGACTGGTTTTTAAGAAAATGCAAAGGTATATCCTCTCCCCTGGTGCACTGGGGTCCATGGCTCCAGGCACACCTCAGAGCATCTCCCTCTTCTGTTGCTAGGAAACAGGAGTCCAGTTGTACACTTTCCTCCACTTGCCCTCTGCTCTATAGTCACCCTGAACTTCTCTCTGTGTGAGCCTTTTCCCACCTCAGGCCCTTGCCTAGCCTATTGTCTCTACATGGAAGCTGCAGGGCCTTTTCCTCTGCTCTGACTCCATTTTACCTTCAGGTTTAGATCTTTTCTCTCCCAATTCCTTTCCCTGAGAATTGCATCTTGGTTCAGTATTGCTCCAATGTGGCCTCTGAGCTAATGATTTGATGCTGAGCAAATGATTGAGAAATGTAAAAGACACCAGTTTAAAAACTAAACAAGATAACAACAACAAAAAATGGGTACAGGAGACAGAAAGTAAGGCAGAGCAAACACACACAAACTTTTTATTATAATTATTTTATTTTTTATTTTGTTTGTATATGTGCCTGTGAAGATCAGAAAATAGAGCAAGTCCAGCTAAATCCCCAGATTATCTTGGAACCTAGGGAATTAATGCAGTCTCTGAGAGTGCCCTAATCAGGAAAGCATGGAGAATTGGGGACCTTCAGTGTTTGCCTCTGAGCTTTGGATGGAAAGAGGGTCCCATCTGAACACCCTAAAGCCACTAGTCACATGTAAATGGATGTGCATGTGTAGACTCTGCTTATGAAAACCTAAGTTATTGGCACCTGGAGTTTCTTTTCCTGGTCTGATTCTACTCCGAACCAAGTCTGGTCTTTCCCAGTAAACACATGGCACCATTGCTACATCACTACCGCCTCATACAGGAAATCACTCTGCCTTAACATGTTTGCCACCTATGCCAGGTATAAGAAGTCATCCACTTTCTTAATAAAGAGCATGTGCCTCCTCTTTGGCCTGGTTTGGCTGTTCTAGAAGCATGGAGCATTTTTGTTTAAATGCTTATGATTGTGTGTGTGGGTATGTGGGTGGGGTTTAGGTGGGTGGTGTATAGATGTTATACTATACATATGGAGGTCACAAGACAACTTTTGAGAGTTGGTTCTCTTTTTTGACCTAGTTGAGGAAGGGTCTCTTGTTTGGCTGCTGCATTACATACTCCTAGCTGACTGGTTGGTGAGCTTCTCGTCTGTACTTCCCCACTTGCCATAGGAGTACTAGAATGTAGATGCATATCACCACAGCCATTTTTAATGGGGGCTGCAGTCATCAAACTTGTCTTGTATGGCAAACACTTTTGCCTACTGAGTCATCTAGTTAGGCCTTAGCAAAATATTTCTTAATAGAACAAAGTAGACTTTTAAAAAGCAAATTAAAGAATGCTATATATCAAAGCAGCAGTTATCTGCTTGAGACCTGCTCAAGATCAAATCAGTCAAATGTCTAGCATGGTGGGGTGGGGCTCATGAGTTACTGACAGTTGTTGACTTCTGGAGAGGGGGACATGGTTTTCTTTATAGGTATGGCCTTTGGAAGGTCAGCTATGCTCCAATGGGTATCCCCATACCTATGAGGATGGTCACTATAAACTGGATTCAGTAGGATATTGAGAAGAGCAAATAGAGCTTGAGGGGCGTCTCAGTGGATAAGAGCACTTGCTGCTCTTTCAGAGGACCTGAGTTCAATTCTCCGCACCCACACCAGGCAGCTCACAATTGACTGTGACTCCAGAGTCAGAGAACCGAAAGCTCTTTTCTAGTGGCTGTGGGTACCAGGTGTGCACATGTTACCCATATTTACATACAAGCAAGTACTCATGAATATAAAATAAACATAAATAAATGTTTTTCACAATGTTGGGAGGACTTGAGGCGGTTGGGAGGGATCTGGGAGGAGTTAGGGGAATATCAGGTATTAAATACTTTGTATGCAATTAATAAAAATATTATGTTAGAATGATCCTATGTAGGTTACTTTAACAGCTATGTGATTCAGGCTTTGGCACTCACACTGTCAGCCATGGAGGACAACACACAACAGAGATACCATTTGTTATGTTATTGCAGGGCAAATACAGAAATAAATCGAGGAAGACATCAGGACTTAAATACGCTAGCATTACTGTGACATCTACCTTGTGACCAGTGAACAAAAACAAATTAGGATTTGATTGCTGTCAACTCATGAAGTGGGTGCCATGGAACATGTTCATCACATTAACATTTGTCTGCAGTAGATAGGAAAGCTCAACACTGTGTCCCTATCACAGATAGTTTAAAAAGTGCTAATTTAATGCAAGTTGTTTCCAGTTGAGCATCTCATGAAAATAACCATCCTGATTCCTCTAATAAGAAGTGAGAAAACACTCCTGGTGTGTAGGATAGAATACATGGTCTGCATTCTTTTCCATGTGTGAGGCATGCAGGTATGTGTTTATGCATGTTATCCTGGGTATGGGTGTGTGTGTACATATGGAGGTCTTAACTTCATCCTGGGAATCATTTTTAATCATCTCTCACCTTATTCCTTAAGGCAGGTTCTCTGCATCAAACTCAGAGCCTCACAACATAGGCAGTGTCACTCCAGGAAGTACAAGGGTGTCATTATGCCCATGTGACATTTACATGGATTCTGGGGATCTGAAATCCAAACCCTTTGCTTTCTACCTGGCATTTACTTGGATTCTGAGGATCTGAACTCTATAGCTATCTTACTTATGTGGCAAATTCATTAACCACAGAGCAATCCCTTAGCCCATGGTCTGCATTTTTAACAAGGGAGCTACTGTACTTTGGAAAGTGGCTAGTCCAATTGAGTTACACTTAATCCCAGATACATACATACTAGATCTCTAAGACTTGAAATGAATTATAGAATGTGATCTCATTAAATATTTTGGTATTGATAGCAGACTGAAATGATAGTATAATAGATGCATTAGGTATGAGATATATTAGTAAGATAAATTTGCTTTATTTTTTGCACAGTATATTTTTAGTAATAAGATTCCTTCTTTGGCAACTTTATACATGCACATAATATTTTCTTATTACTGTCCTCCCTCATTCTCTCATCTTTTCCCCACCCCTACAAGCTCCTGACGTCCCTACAGATCTCTTCCTCAAATCCATGGCTTTTGTTTTGTATTCCCTGCATTTTAACTGGGCCATCCATGTAATCCTGGGTTCAGAGCACTCATTTGAACCTGGTGGACTCACCAGCAGGTTCACCACTAGATACTCTGTCTTCCCCTCACACAGTCTTTTAGTTGCCAGTACTTCAGCAGTAAGTGATAAGGCCCCATGAGCTCCTCCCTGCTCCATAGATAACTGTTGGCTGGGTCATCTTCTGTAGGCCCAGTGACAGTAATGACAGCAGATATGAATTCATGATTTCCATGACAGTGTTATGCTGAAAGAATGTGTTCTGTAGCCTTGTTTCTACCTGTGGGCATGTACAGTATTTCCACCCCACTTCTATGATGATCTCTGTGATAACCTCCTTAGGATGTGATTTGAGTATCTTGTTTGGAGCTAAGCCTTCAACCGACATTCATTCTCAGCATCCTGTCCAGCCACAAGTTCTGCATTCTCCTATATTTACTGCAAAGATGGGCTTCCCTAATTTGAGATAAGAGTATCCTTTGTGGGTATAAACATAGATGTGTAGAAGACAGCTTGATGTGATACCTGTTTAGTTAAGAAACAGGATAGTAGGTTTATCCGCTGGTGCCTAAGACCTCTTCAGTCACAAATGTTTGACTAGGATTACAGTATCAGCAATGCAGTGTCTCATGGAGTGGGTCTTAAATCCAAGCAGAGAGTTTTTGTTATTCATATAACATCCATACCATTATTGCACCAGTAGGCACATGTTGCTGACACATTGGTAATGTAGTTCATAGAGTTCTCATCTGGGTAAAATCTTTACTCCCTGCAGCAGCCTATATAGCACTGTTTGACAAAGCCATGAAAAGTAACCAACTATCCATGGGAGACATCTGTCATCAAGTTCTTATGTTTTTTAAACTGGATTACAAGGTAGCAAAGATAGAAAGTTTTTAGGTAACTTTTCATATCCCCTTCATTTTAGTTAACTCCTCCCTATCTTCTCTCATCTCCCCATCTTCAATCCTTCATCCTGTCTAAACCTTTCCACCTCCAGCGACCTCCCTAGCCACCCTCATTTTACCTTTGTGATACTGTCACCCTTTCATTGGGGTAGTTACCCATAACTGTAGTCTTTCTAAACTCTGCAAGCTGGGGGCATACTCTGTTGTGTTAGACATGTCTAATCTACAGGCTTGTCACTAGAAAGGTCAGGGCTGTGCTTGTCTGTACTGTCCCAAGCAGCTCCATAACATGTTGCATAGCTTGCCTCCCTTGCCTTCCTGCTCCTGCTAGTCCTCACCAGTGAGCTTCCTCAGTTTCTGAATAGGGCATTTATGTACTTGCTTATCACTTTGTCACACAGATTAACTACAAGGCTGTTGGCTCACTGGATCCAAGTGCTGATCTGTCCAGCCAGAGGGGGAAAGTGTTCAAACTCCGGAATGAAACCCACCACCTCTTTGTGGGTCTGTACCCAGGGACCACCTACTCCTTCACCATCAAGGCCAGCACAGCCAAGGGCTTCGGACCACCTGTCACCACTAGGATTGCCACCAAGATCTCAGGTATCTCTTTTAGAAAGAGAAAGGGGGGTTATTTTCCTGTCTCCTGCAGCCTTTGTCATTTCCTGGAGTAAAAAAAGATACAGCTGACTGTCACTGATGACAATGGAACAATTTTAGACAATGACATCACTATTGGGTTGAAGAAAGTCAACCGATAAACTTTCTGAAGCTCACCAAATAACATGCCCTAAGGTGGAATAAGAGAGAGAGCCGGAGAGTGGGGGAAGGGACATATAAAAGTTGGTTTGAAAATTTATTTTCCAGATAGAACACTTCCCAGTATAAGACACCCACAGTACTTCTTCTCCTGAAATATCTGAATGAATGAATGAATGAATGAATGACTAAGCTGCAGGAGCCCAAGACTGTAAACCATCTCTGCCAGGAGGATGCAGCACACCACCTTAAGGCCAAACCATTGCAGAATGCTTGTTTACAGTGTCCATATTTTGGAATATCTATTTAATCTGGTCTGCTGCATATGTATTTTCATGCGATTTTGCAGAAGCCATGATTTTTTGTAGTTTAATGTTTCCACTTATCCTCATCCCATAAGTATTTCCCACACTGCTGCATTGCTTTCATTATAATGTCTGTCAACTGGATGGACGTAATTTAATTAAACAGTCCCTTGTGGTTGAATATATTTGGTGTTTCTACATTTTTATAAAATAGCGCTTCAATAAACATGTTACAAAATAAAGTTTAAATCGTTGATTGGAATTATAACTCTAGGATTAAATTCAGAAATTGAAAAAAAGCATTAAAGGAGATGTGGGTTTTAATAGCTCATAATACAAATGGCTAAATTACCCTTTCAAAGGATTAGATTTAGTCACACTCCTGTGGGGGGAAAGGGTCTTATGAAAAAAGATGGAACTAATTCATCTTTTCTTTAATTTGCATCTGAATGTGTTTAAGGAGGTTTACTCTGTTTCCATCTATATTAAGTACTTATATGTCCTGCATATTCCGTTATATCTGCATGGAAGAAGTGCTTTTTGATGAGGCTTATGCCTACCATCACTTCAGACTGTTGCACCTGGAGAGAAGCTGCAGGTGGAAGTCAAGGCTTCCCACGCAAGGTCCCTGATACAACAGGTTCTCACTCACTACCTCTGTTCGGTTAGACTAGGTTAACAAGGGGACATGTTGCGGAACATTTGGTGCCTGTGCCCCTCAAGTTCCATTTCTCTCTCTTGCCCAGCTCCATCAATGCCTGAATACGATGCAGATACACCACTCAATGAAACGGACACGACCATCACAGTGATGCTCAAACCTGCTCAGTCTCGGGGAGCCCCTGTCAGGTGAGGAGCTATCATTTGTGGCTTTCTTCCTCTATACCTCACACAGATCCAGGTGAATCACATGACTCGCAATGCGCCTGGATGAGGTAAGCCAGAAGCCAGATTGTCCAGAAGGTGCATGGTCAGCAACTCAGCTCAACTCAGAGGCGAGTGCTGAGAAAGAAAGGGTCTTCTCTCCCCACAGTGAACCACAATTCAGAGTGGGCATCCTGGTAGGAACCTGGAAAGGTAATGGGGAGAACTTTCTGGAGCATAATTAGGGAAAATGTAGTTAGTGGATGGAAAACCTAGACACAGTAATCTTTGCAAGATCACCTGACTCAGATATACTGCATTCTTCAAAGAATCCACTCACATATTTCAAATAGGATGATCCCCATGGGCTGATTCAATCCAGAGATAGGAAGTGTTAGAATCCCACAGGGATCATATTGCTTATTTCAATGAGAATTTGTTGAGGCCCCAATGGGCACCCAGGCACCAAGACCATATCATTAGTTAGGTTGATTTATGCAAGTTCATAGTTATCAGGATGGGCTGGCATTTATTCTAAACAAGATCCCCTTTGTACAAGGCAACTATATTGGCTGCTGGCTTTGCTCAAAACTCCAGGTCTCAGGACCTCAGTCCATTGAGATGAGTAGAACATTAGGTATAACTTCCAGATTGGCTCAGTTCAGTCCAAAAAGCATGTGGCAGGTACCTTATATACAGTGGATGGGATGTAGGGGCTGGAAACAACAATGATTCACTCAGCACACATCTTCATTAGTTTAAATGCTTGGGATAATGATATCAAACTAGAGATAAGTTCAAAGGAAGCTGACCTACTGTAGTTAAAGACACAGGCATAGGGCATAGTTACAATGTTGTGCAACCTTATGGAAAACTTCACAGGGGCTTAGAAATACTCAGAGAAAACTCCCAGAGAAGGCAACACCCAGTTGTATAAGGTTTGACTCATTACAAGTGTCCAGTATGTACCAGGGTGGCTTGTAAAAAAGGAAATAGCCATGCCTAGTGAAGTTTGCTGTAACATAAAGAGCAAAGACAGAATAGCTAGATGGAAAGAAAAGGGTGTATTGAAAGGCTTGGGCTGATTTGAGGATCATAGGGATCAGTCAGCGATTGGCTTTAGCAACATCACCTTTCATGCCTTCTTGGGACTGGGAGACCATACTAGAAGGAGGATCTTGAGATACATAGTCCAGATCTTCATTTTCAACTCCCATTCAACTCCACCCAAAATTATAGTGGTGGGGCCAACAGAATGAACCAACAAAAATGCGGAAATTCTTGCCTCATCTGAAACTGGGTAAAGGCCCTCTTTACTAGGTACAGGGAATATGGCCCTATGACAGGTTGAGATGATGGTGATTCCTGTAAAGCTCCCCCGAACCCCAGTTTGAAGATATGCAAACAGACAAACAGAAGTCAATAAGGTGACTTGGACTATGAAAAAAATGGGCCAGGCAAGACAAGATGGAGGCCCAGTTCTGACCATAGAGACACATTCATTTTACTGAACCATACCATCTTGCTAGGAGAATGGTACGCATGTCATTTTCATCCTTAAAAATTAAAGGAAATGTCACTACTCAAAGGGGAAATGGTTGGTGTCTAGAAATCTCAGGTTGCTTTCCTTCTCAAGGCCCTAGTTCACCGAGAGTGGGTGTACCCTCAGTTTCTGGAATTATTTTGACCAGAGCCTGGGCATTTGCCAAGAAGGCCAATTTGCCAAGATGAAGCAATGGCAAGGAGAAGGCCTTTCAGGACAACTGCCGAGAGATCAGAAACACTACTATATATTTCAGTTACAGTAACCACATTCCATCTGAGTATGAGTCTTGGTCATGAAGATATGCATCTTAGAAGCATCTGGTCACAATAAATATTTATTGAGCACTTGCTGCGTACCAGGAAGTAGGCTAAGCAATTTGAGTATAGCATGAAACAAGAAAGGCTCACTCTGCCTTCTTGAGGCTTATCTTGCAAGTGTGTCAAAGAACAGATTGGGAGGTAGGGCAATAAGCAAATAAGTAGACAAATTGAGGGGTGGGGTGAGCTGACTGTCCAGACTGAGAGGAAGTAAGGGCATGATGGAGAGGTAAGCTGCTTGTGAGAAGACTGGCATTGAGCTGCTCTGTAGGCTAGGAACTGGGAGCCGGAAAGAAAAGTAACCTGGATATTCAACAACCTGGGACCCAAAGACTTGCTTCAGGCATTTGACCAATGGTATCATCATATTTTAAAATAGAAAAGGTATTCTAATGCCTGGTAGCACAGTGTGATAAATGTAGTAGGCAGCAATTTATAACATGCTTCACATAACTAGAAAAAAGTCAACATTCCCAACCCATGGAAGCCCAATTATACTAAATCAGCCATGATATATGGTATGTTCAAGCATCAAATTACTGTTTTTGCCTAGTAAATGAATGCAGATATCATATGTCAATTTAAAAATAACCACATTTAAGAAAATAATTCGATCTGGAAAGATGGCTCAGCAGGTAAAGGTACCTGGCACCAAACACAATGGTCTGAGTTCAATACCTGGGGCCAACATGGTGGATAGAAAGACCTGCACAAAAATTGTCTCCTGACCTTTAAATTTATGTGTTCCTTCTTCCCCTACAAATCAACAAATCTAAATGTATAAAAAGACTTTACTATTGATAATGTTTTTACTTCTGTGCATGGTGTGACTCTAAGTGTTCTGGTGGGTAAATTAGTTGGGAAATACCATCTCTATATTAGTGAGAGATATTGAAGCCTGAGATGTTAAATGATTGGTTCACAGTTGTGGCAGGTAAAGTCAGTTGTTTAGTTAATATTCTCATTGCTGTGACACTTTAAAGGGTTTATTTGGGGTCACAGTTCAAGAGTGTAGTCCATCATGGCAGGGAAGTCATGATTACAGGGCACTGTTGCATCCCCAACTAGGAATCAGTGAGTGATGAATTCTTCCTCACTCAGTCCAAGACTATGACCTGTGGAACTGTGATGACCACATAGGTTTTTTCACCTCAGTTAACACGTTCTTGAAACCTCTCACTGAGGCCAAGGTTTGTCACTGGGTCATTCTAGATCCTGTCAGATTGACAACTTGCATTATTATCTACTAGTTGAACATAGACCAGGCTCTGAGGTCACTGCTACTTGGTAGTTCTGGCTTCCACTCCTACTGCTTCAGGGGAATCTGGAAGGACTTTTGAGGGGGTGGTATATAGTGACATTTTTGACAGCTGAGGGATGACATTTTGGGGAGTCCTCTAACTCTGGATAATGTGGGCCCAGCCTGTAACCTGTTCCTCTATGTATTTACCTAGCTAATTCTCAGAGATTCAAACCTAAGCCTTGGCCTCCAGGCCTCTAGGCAGGCTTTTTCTTCCTCCAACCCACAGGGCTTAACCACTAACAGAGCCAAATTTCAGCCTCCCACTCTTGGGAAGCCTCCCAAGTTTGACTTCTTCTAGTAGGGCTGAGAATTCAGAGAGCGAGAAGGAGGGGAGCATTGAGGAGCCAACTGCAGAGGTTCCTGTACCCTCACCCTCCAGCCAAATCACCTCGGCAGCTTGGCCTATTTTTCTAATACTGCACAATGGAGATTTATTGCTTTTGTATTGCTCTCCTCGGGCCTTCAAAGATTTATTGGTTTTTAAGTGACAGAATCCCAGAATTGCTTAAAAGATCAATCAAATGGTGACTAGAATCTAATATTCAGCTCTGACTCAAACACACTGAGCCTTCTTCCCCCACACCCCACCTGTCACACTGATGTATCTGTGGTAACCTTCATAAGAAAGTAACTTGGCCATGAATTAATCACCCATAATGCAGTCCCTGCAGTGAGAATGGGGGCTCTGTAACAAAATCTGTGGGAGATGCTCCCCAGATACAGCAGACTTTTCTTGCAAGTATCCTTTTCCATTCTCTCTTCTCTCATCCTTTTAGTGACCTGCATTGTTCCTTGATTTTCAGATCAACCCTGGATGGAGGCAGTGCTTATCCAGCCCTGTTCTTCTGGTCAGCAAGAATGTCCTTGCTGATATGTCTGTCAAGAGCATCTCTATCCCAGGTCCATCCCCCACCAAGCCACTGAAGTGTGCCCAGGAAAGCACAAATTGGATCAAGTTAGCTTCCCTGCTTAAAATTCTTAAATGGGTCACTAGTTTTCTATTGCATTAAGTTGAAGCTTCTTAGCATGAAATTCAAGGCCTGTCAGCATCTGCCCTTAACCTTATTTCTAGTTTCATTTAAATTCACTCTGCCCCTTTACCAGATTTTACTCAAAAGTGACCCGTGTGATTCCTTCATGACTCCTCCCTGAGCTTTTAACTCTATTATGCATGAATTTGTAAGCTTTCTTTGTTTTGAATTTTTGTCTGTGATTTTCTTGTTTTAGATTCTTTTGCTTTTGGCCCAAAGAGACTTGAAGGCTTAGCACAATTGTGTCTCCTTCACATGGAATAATGTATAGCCCATACTTGATGCATACAAACAAACAAACAAAAGACCAAAGCAAAGCAAACCAAAGAAAACCCAACAAGTAGTTGCTAAAGTGTATGATTTTTTTAATTCAGCAAATTAAAAAATTTGTCATGGCCACCTTGTAGTAGGCTAAGACTGTGTGTTTTCTTCAGCTTCCTTCTATTCCAGAACAGATTGTTATCAGATAGATCTTTCTCTGACAATGAAAATGTTCATCTTTGTGAGCTGTCTGGTAGGATCTCTACTGACCACATGTGACTATCAAGCACATGGTACATTCCTGCCATAACAGAGGAACTGACTTATGGTGGTCACTTTTGATCAGTGTGATATTTCAACACAGGTGCAGCACACACAGATCAAAGCCAAACTGCCTTTATCTACCCTTCACATGCACCTCCAACCTCTAGTTACCACTGTTCTGCATTCTGAGCCTTTTGTCTGTATGGTGTGTGTCCAGACACTCAGGTGAAGTCCATAACAATGTAGGTGGCTTGGGAGCCCAA